ACCCGGCCACTCCACCACTGGGGATTTACCTAGAGGATATCCAAGTCAAGATCACACAGGCAGACACTTGCACACAGGTGTCTCTGCAGCGCTAGTCAGAGCAACCCAGCTGCCACCAGCATGGGGAAAGACAAGGAAACTGGGATTGTTTTCAGCCATAGAGAAGGAACAAAGTCATGCCTTCTGCAGGAAAATGGATGCAATGTGGGATAATCGTATTATCTCAGAAAGACATCCCATGTTTCCTGTCACTTGCAGGTCCTAAATTTTTATATAAATGCATAAAATCATATATGTATGGCATAAAAGTAGAAATAAAATTGTTTAGGTTAGAGCAAAGGAGACTCTTGGGAAGGAAGAGGGTATGTGGGAAATAGGCTTAACACAAATACATGTATATATGAAAACTTAAAAAAAGAAATATTTTTAAATGAATCTAAATGTTTCAGCTTAACCTGGGTTTTGTTTTTTTGTTTGTTTGTTTGTTTGTTTGTTTGTTTTTGCCTGGTCTGCTTGTTAGGTCAAGGGACTTACAGCGCCAGGCACCTGCATCTTACTAAGCCCCATGCATGAGTCTGGTGACCTGCTGACCCCCCCCTCCCAGCCAGCTCAGCTCAGGCTTTGTAGTGGTCAGCAGTCTGTAGTCTTCCAGCAGCTGCCTGCCCTGTGCCAGCCCCATATGAGTGGTCAGCTATGGCTTGGCAAGAGCCCTAACCACACAGCAGGTAGACAATGCTGTTCCAGATACTCTGGGGAACGTTGTAGCAATTGCCATGGCAGACACTGAGATGACAGAGCTGTCTTCCCCTGACTGAGGAACTGACCAGTATTTTCTGTGGGCAAGCACAGCGGAAGGACAGAGGCATTCAGACCTCCAGTGTGCCACTGGCTCTGCTCGCGGTCGGCATCCCCATGTCAGGGTGGCAACAGCCTTCCTGCATTTCCATACACCAGCTGAGAAAGAGGATCTATTTCCAGTTCCTCTGATTTTCAAGACTTTTGGCTGTTAGCGTGTTGTGGAGACTCAGGTGCGTACAAGGGCTGAGTGAGTGGGAACGGCAGCAGTGAGAGCAGCCATGGGGCTGCAGGAGCAGACCTCTGCTCAGGATAGAGCAAACACCTCTGTAGTATCTTTATAGAGCCAGGTGGTGCCCCTACCCCTAACTGCTCTTGGCCAGAACAGAACTTACCATGTTTCCAAGTGAGGACCGAATCAGTCCAAATCAGCTTTGTTTCTTAGCTGGGGCAGCCTGTAACCGAGGAAGGGAGGCGGGGAGGAAAGGTGAGCACACCAGGAAAGTGAACCAGCACAGAGGACGGTGTGCAGTTCATCCCCAGCTCCATCTCCAGGGGTAGCTGTTAACAGACACAGAAAGCATGGTCAGATAGTAGATAATACGTGCTGAAGAATAGCTGAAATCACAAGAAAATGGCAAGTATACGATTATGCTAAGAAATTTGAAACTTTTAAAGGGAATGAGTAATTTTCTAGGAAAATGTTATTACCAAAACCACTCAAGAAATAGAAGGCCATGTGACCTTAGGTTCGCAATGGAGTGAAACAGGAATGGGGCACGGCTTAGCTGTCACTTGGTGTCTCCACCGCGTGAGCAGCATGGAGTGACTGAGTGTCCCTGCTGAAGAGTAGGAACAAGCAGGGTTTTGTGGCCAAGCTGAACGCCCAGGTGAGCAGTAATTCTGTTGTCCTCCAAATCAGCTCTAGGCCCATGGAGATGCTGTGTTGTTCAAGAGCAGGTATGTCTGTCTGTCGTGTGTGACTTATTGAAAACATACCTCGGGATGACTGAGCCACAAATCTGGGGTAGCGGTTCCTCCCCTGACAATGGGATTGAGGCTGAAAGGGGCACAAAGGAATGGCTACTATTGCCTGTCACCTGCCGTTTCATTTGAAATTCTGAACTAGATGGCAGCATTGCAGACTGTTAAGACATGACTACAAGTGAAGGCCTGCTTGCTTGTTTTTGTCTCTACATTAGTCAGTGCACTACACTGTGGATGTCTTGATGTCATGTGAGGTGAGGTTGCCTGCCAAGAGATCCAGGGACCCACATCACCCTGGTGACCTTACTGTAGCCAGAATTTGGCCCTCACCTTAGGCATACTGTGTGTCCTCAGCGTCACCCTTGTGATACCCATGGATAATGCCAGGATCAGCAAGGCCACCATATCAAGGTCTGGTCACCGTGACGCACATTAATCTTTACAAATGTTCCAACAGTATTTAGGATCATTCAGTCTGTGAATGTAGCATTGGTCTGTCCCTGAGAGTCAACCATAGCTTTGATTTGCTCCAGGAAAAAATAAAGCAGAGATGGGGGAAGACCCAGTGTTTGCAAAGGTGTGTCATGTTCAGGAGAAGCAGGATTCTTCTTGGCCTCTTTCTAGCTAGACTATGGGTTTTTAAAAATCTTTTAATTTTACTTTTTTAATTCATATATGTAGACTGTATTTATGTAGTTTTCCCCAGCCCCTCCACTATTCCCTTCTCAAATTCATGGCTTGTTTCTCTTTAATTATTATTGTTACTGTTTCTTGAATATTTATAAATACAACCTACTGAATCTATTTAGTGTTGATCGTGCGCACGTGTGTGTGCGTGTTTTCTCTGTATGTATCTGGTTTGTCAAGTCACCATTTAAAGGACAGGAAGCTTCGACAATGACTATGTCACACCAAGTCTTTGAAGCCTCAAGTGAGCTAGGGTCCCAGGCGGGCTGCTAGTGGTGTGGCTCTGGAAGAGAACCCAGCTGCAGCCCTCCTCTTGCTGTCGGCTGCTCAGTCCTCACAGGACAGAGGAAGCACCCTACAGCTGACTCTTTCCCGCTGCCTCCCATTCCCCAGTGCCTCTGGAGCAGCAAGGACTGGCTGACAGGCCTAGAGGACTCTTTACAGCAGGAAGCGTTGCTTTTCTTTTTAAAGAGATTCCCCTGGGGCCCTATCTTGGTTGACTGTGAGGCTTATCTGAATTCATGCACACACTCCAACCCATGGGGTGTGAGATCCTTCAGTTCCTGCCTGTTACTCCTCTGCCTTAGGATGGGATCCTGCTTGAAGCCTCATGACTACCAAGGCCCAGAGCCTTATGAATATGTAGAGGAGTTTTAATAAAGCGGTGGGAAGCAGCAGCCTGCTTCTCCCAGAAAATGCTCAGAGCCCAGGAGACTTCCAAAAGCTCCTGGAAGATGAGCTTCCTGCAGAGAAAGGGGAAATGAGAGAACCGGGCCTGATTGGTTGGGCCTCAAATCCAGCAGTTTGAGAATGAAGAATGCTGTCCCCTGCCCCGTGTTTCCGCATTCCCAGCCAGCCCTGTGAGCCCTACTGCTATCCGCTGGCTCAGTCTCCTGCTGGTGCAAGTGGAGACCTGGCTGCAGGGGGTGATGTGGCCCCAAATCATGGAGTCCTCCCTCCTGTAGCATTCCAGGTTGACTTCTTGACAGTGACATCATCTGGTAATTTGTTTACAGTTGAAGCTTTGCAGATTCTGTAATATAAGTTTCTGCTAATTTTTATCAGTTTGCCTGTCCATGAAGGCTCACTTACAGTGAGACCAGATACTAACTGTGGAATTCGTTCCCCCAGCCCCCAAAACAACTGTTACACATTTTTTGATGATTAATTAAAAGGAACTTACTATAATGACTAAAATTAGCCAAAGACGCCCCTTCTGCAATCCTAGCCTAATTGCCTTCTAATTACGCTGCTTCCCTTGCTTCTGCTCAGAATCTGTGGGTCTGAGCTTGTATTGAAACCTGGGGGAGGGGTCTGAGCTCGTGTTGTGAGACCTGAGGGAGGGGTCTGAGCTCATGTGTGAAACCTGGGGGGAGCACACATGCCCTAGTGCTGCCCTCCAACGTTCCATTGCTCAGCAGCTGAGTGCTAAGCCGTGGCTTAGCTCCAGGGCTCTAAAGTCCATCTCCTCCTCCCACTTCCATTCAAGAGACATACTCATGGGAACTGATGATGAAGCTGCCAGGTAGACTGAGTCTTCCATGAGTGGGGCTGTGGAAGACTCTGTCACCCGAAGAGATGACAAGAATGGACATGGAGGAGCCTGGGGCAGGGACTGGATCCCCTTGGGGTTCACAGTTGCCCCCCTCAATTCAGTACACCCCTTAACCCTGCTGCACGGCTGGGCTCCCACTAGTCTGGAGTCAGTGGCAGCACCATTTGGTGACTCAGGACTCTGGCTGCACTCAGACATACCTAACAGTTTTCCTGGGGCTCTGACAAGTCCCCCATCCTCCCAGATGACTGTGTGGAGACTCTGGGACACTGCTCTGTGCTGGCATCCCCAGATGGGCCTGAAAGGAGTCCTCGTGTGGGTTCTGCTGAGCTGGGTCCTGTCGTGCTGAGTGTTTTGGCCATGTGATACTTGAGCATTTCTGCCAAGGCCCAGAAGAGGTGTGGCTTTAAAACTGGCATCCACAGAGTTTAATGAAGAGGTCCTATGCCCTTGTTCCTGAGGTAGCCCTAATGTGCCTGTCCACCTGGCAGCCCTGTTTCCACGAGCACACTCACCACCAGGTTACTAGGAGGAAGCCTGGCAGGCAGTGTGAAGGATAGCAGTCAGTAGGCTGTTACTGTGAGAGCCAGTCCCCCAAACAGCACATGCCTGTTACATACAACGTGCAAGGTGAGGAAAAACAATGGCACCAGTCCCCCAGAGATAGCTGCTGAGAACTGAGGCAGGCATGTGACTGAGGTGCGTCTGCCTGGAGGTGGGAGGGTTTCACTGCTTTGGAACACACGTTTTACATGTTAGAAGCCTGCTCTGAGCTCATACAGCTTGCAGAATGCCCTTGTCTGTAAGCAGAATCTGGTTGTATCTTGTGCTTTCATATGTCCCATCTGTGCCGGAACCCCCCATAGCTGCTGGACTCACCGCGGTCCTTAGGTCTTGGCAGTCCACTCTGCTTGTCAGCCGGGGTGGCCCTGGCCAGTTGTGCCTATGCTCACAGGATCCTCTTCTTCCTCCTCAGGTGTCAGCGGAAGCAGTGGCGGGTGGACCTGCCAGCTACCAGTGTGGTGATCACATTTCACAATGAAGCCAGGTCAGCCTTGCTGCGGACGGTGGTCAGGTGAGGCCAACAGATAACTCCAGGGTCCAGGGTCTCACAGGAAGGGTGGGGTACCTAACGGCAGCTGCGTCTCAGCCACAAACAGCGGGAGCTACAGACGAGTGCATCCATCTGCCAAGCATGGGGCATGGGGATTGGCTCCTCTAGCCAAGACTGGGGACCGCAAGGGAGAGGCGGCTCCAAGCAGAGTTCTGCCCTTACAAGGCTTTGTCCCTCTGTCTGCTCTCAGTGTCCTTAAGAGGAGCCCACCGCATCTCATCAAGGAGATAATCCTGGTGGATGACTACAGCAATGACCGTGAGTTTCACAGCCCCACCTCTGGCGTTGCCTTCCTGGTTTGGGGTGTTGTGTGGGAGGGCTGACCTAATGGAGCAGAGAGTGGAGCAGGCACCTGGGGCAGGGAAGTTATGTCCTCCAGAGGCCATAGGGGAGAGGTGACCAAATATGTGGCCATCCAGCCTGTGTAGACTGGAGGTTCACTATTCTCTCTTTTCTTTCCTTAGCTGAGGACGGGGCCTTATTGGGGAAAATCGAGAAAGTGAGGGTCCTCAGAAATGACCGACGAGAAGGTAAGAAAGTCTATTGGGGCACTTTTGAGGTGGTGTGTATTAGTTGTTTTTCTCATTGGTGGGATCAGTGAAATTCAAGGAACAAAGGGTTTGTTTGGGCTCCTGGTCCCAAAGGATGCAGGTCATCCTGGTGGCCAGAATGGAGGCAGCTGGTCACAGTGGGCCCACAGCAAGCAGAGAGGAGTGAGCACTGGTGTTTAGCCCACTTTCTCCTTACGCAGCCAGAACCCAGCCCATGGGATAGGGCCACCCACTTTTGATCTAATCTTAGAAAATTGCCCTCAGACACAACCAGAGGTGTTTCCGTGGTGATTCCAAGTCCTGTCAAGATTGACTATCACTCTGAACTCCTGTGTTAGTGTTCTTGCTCCAGAGGGCGTTAGATTGTTCTGAATGACATCTGCTGTAGAAGAGGTGTCATGAGCTTAAAGTCGTAAGTTGGTGTGCTTACAGAGTATATTGGTGGGGACATTAATTGGACTAGTGACGGCAGAGCAGAGGGACAGAGCAGCTCTGTGATGACATTCTTGGCTTTGAGGTTGGTAGGTAGTGACCTGCTGAAGATCTGCAGTCACCAGAATGCTTGGTCACCTTGACACTGAGCAGAGAGCCAGCGGGGCTGGAGAGATGACTCCATAGTTAAGAGCACTGATTACTCTTCCAGAGGACCCAGGTTCAAGTCCCAGCACTCACGTGACGGCTCACAGCCATCTGTAACTGCCAGTTTCTGGGGATCCAGCATCCTATTCTGGCTTCCTAAGGTAGTAGGCATATGGTACACAGACATGCATATATACAGCCACAAATGCCCAGGCACATAAAATCAAAATTTAATAAAAACAAGAGGGACCAAGATAATTTTGGCTTATGATCTGCAACATTCGAATTTCCCATGAAGTTCTAGTCAATAAGTCAGTCTTCGTGGCCTTCTACACGGGTACAGCTTCTTTTGGGGCTCTAGGTCCTGCCTCTCCTGGCCCAGTGTAACTACTTCAGGGAACAGCAGCCGTTGTCTGTCTCTCTTCCTCACCAGAGCCACCCAGTAGCCCTGTCCCAGCAGATGCAGGAAGGACAGTCACAGCTTAACTGTCAGATTTTCTAACCACATTTGTATTTGTGTTTACACATTGGGAATAATAGGCTACTGTCTTTCCCTTGCAGCTAGACAAGTCCCTTCAGCCCCTTGACTGCAAAGGTTTAGAAAAAGCATTAAGGCTTAGCCATCAAGAGCAGAGTGTCTCTGAATTCCAGGCATGTGATACAAATCAGATTCTGTAGATAGCGCTGCAGGCAGGCCTGCTTTTCGTCCTGCCCAGCTCCTGCACGGCTAGCTTAGCCCCGGAAATAATAACACGGAAACTGTATTCTTTTAAACACTGCCTGGCCCGTTAGTTCTAGCCTCTTATCGGCTAAATTCTCACATCTTGATTAACCCATTTCTAATAATCTGTGTAGCACCACGAGGTGGTGGCTTACTGGGAAAGATTCAGCATGTCTGACCTGGCAGCTGGCTCCATAGCCTCTGACCTCACTTCCCTTCTTCCCAGCATTCTGTTCTGTCTACTCCACCCACCTATGTTCTGACCTATCAGGCCAAGCAATTTCTTTATTAATTAACCAATGAAAGCTAAAGATAGACAGATGACCTTCCCACATCAAGATTCGAAGTTTGACAGCCTGCTGACGGGGAGAGTGGGAGAGTGCTGTTGTTTCATGTCGATGTGACTTTGCAGATGCCAGCCCTTCCCCAGCTGCCACTCTCCACCATGTGGGCAGTTACGGAAAAGACTGGCTTCTCACTGGAGAGTCAGGAGGCTTCTCAGGGCCACTCGTGGGTGTGACTGTCTAGTCCTCTTCCAGTTTCCAGCAGTCAGAGTGATGGCCTTCGCCACTCCACCTCATGAGACTGATGTGAACCCAGGAGTGGCATTTGTATCCTGAGTCAGTGCAGACTCTCTCCTCCTGGTCCCCATATACCATCAGAGCAGGAAGGTGTTCATGCAAGGATTTTTGTTCCAGTTTATGTGTATGGATGTTTTTCATGCATGTATATCCATGTATCACATGTGAGCCTGGTGTCTGCAGAGTCCAGAAGAGGGTGTCAGATCCCCTGGAGCTGGACTTACAGTTGTGAGCTACCATATGGGTGCTGCAAATCAAACCTAGGTTCTCTGGGAAAGCAGCCAGTGCTCTTAACTGCTGAGCCAACTCCCCAGTCCAGAAAGAGTTGGTTTTTTTTTTTCAGTTTTAAAATTTATGTGTGTCTGATGGGTATGTCATATGTGTGCAGGTGAAGAAGGCATCAGATCCCTAGGACCTGGAGCTACAGATGTGGTCCTAGGTTGTGAGCTGCCTGATGTGGGTGCTGGGACCTCTGGAAGGGCAGCAAGTGCTCTTAATCACTAAGTCATCCATCCAGCCCCCAGAATCTTTTTTAAAAAATCATGCATTTATTAAACATTTAATACATGCTTTATACTGTGCTAGACACCAGAGGGCAAAAGGTTAGAAATGTGAAGGCCATTACTCCTGCCCTTGGGGTGCTTGCATTTTCATTTTGGAGGTCAGCATGAACGTGAGCCTAGAACGCAGCCTGTTTGAAATTGCAGGGCAGCACTTTAGTAAGTGCGTGGAAGAGGGCCTCTATGCATGCTGCCGTCAGTCAGAAAGTGCTCATTCAGCAGACACACAGGAAATAAGGCTCTCATGAGGAAGGCGCAGAGGCAAGCAACAGAAGGCTCACTGGACTGAAATCAGTGCAGTGACTGAGCCCACTGCTCCCCACACCCAAGGTCACCAGCCCATCCCACACAGACGGAAGTTGTCCTCTCCCTGAGCAGGTTGCTGCAGGACTTGAGTCAGTTGCTCAAGCTTACGGTAAACCAAAGAGCATCTGATCCCCAAGTTCTTCCCCAGACAACCTACCAGATAACTGGTTTCCAGCTCAGTTTTTGCTCCCACTCTCCTACCTAAAAAAGGAGGTCAACCAAGGGGTCAGAAAAGAAGTAGGGAGGGTAGAGGAAGAAAGAATAATTGATAAATCTCTTGAGCAGAGTACTTTGTTCCAACTCAGAACAGCACACTAAACGGTAGCTCTCAATAAGAGCTGTCCTTCGTGCTGTTTCCGGTGGTGAGACTTGGGGAGCCAGATCATGGCCGGTGTGGAACGGTAGTAGGCTTGACAGCTGAGCAGAGCGTACATGAAGCTCGATGCATGACAAAGCTGTGTGCACGTTGACCTCAAGCCCCACCTGTGAACCAGGCACAAATGGCACTTAATTAGCACAGAGAATGTGGTCCCGAGGAGCTGATCTGTAGCTCAGTAGGCTTGGAGTTGGTGCCACTGTCCATGATCCCTGAGAGCCCTGGTCTGTCCGCCTCCCCTCCACTGTCCTGTTCCCTGCGCCATCGCTGCCACCTATTCTCGAGTAAGTTGTAAACCTCATATCCGCAGAGCCTCAGGTACTGTTGAAGGAAGTTAAAAGAGTAGAAAAGTGGGCTGGGCTACGAGACTCTGCCACAAGTCTGCTGCTCCCTTCCACACACTCACACTGCTGTTGGTGGTGTTTGCCCTGTAGCCCAGACGGTTCCTTTCAGGACTTTCCCATCAGCTTCTCTATCCGAAGAATCGTTCTCCTTTATTATTAAATGGCATTTTCTCGGCCGAGAGTTCTGACCTGACCGTGAGTCTTGCTTTCAGCTCTTTAAAATATTGCAGGGTCTACGTTTTAGACCCTGTTTTCCTTTTTTTTTTTAAAGTGTGTATGTGTGTGTGTTTGTGTTTGCTCGCGCATGTATGTGTGCGTGTATCTTCAGAGGCCAGAGGAGGACACTGGACTCCCTAGAACTGGAGTTACATGTAACTGAAAGCTGGGAACTGAACCCCAGTCTCCTGAAAGAACAGAGAATGCTTTGAACCACTGAGCCATTGTCCAGCTGTTTTTCTCCCAGAGCACTGTCCTAATACATGCTGTCATCCCTTCCGTGTGACAGGTCGTTGGCACCTGCAGCCCTCCTGAGCCTTTATCTGTCTGTGTCTCTGCAGTCACATTTGATCCACCTAGCCCTCATTTTCTTTATAAGTTGATGTTTTCCACAGATTTAGAAAATAGTTGGCTACCACACCTTCAGGTACAGTTCTGGTGCCGTTCTTCAACTCTGGCCGCACGTAACTGCTTCGTGTCCTTTCAAAGTCACTCAAGCCTTTTGCTCCTCGTGTTTTTGTCTTCAGTTTCCTGGGTGATCTATTTCTGTTGACTGTCTTCAAGTTCCCTAGTCCTCCTGCCATGTGAGTTTTTTGTTGGAGAAATACCCATTTAACTCTTCCTACAGTTCTCGATTCTCTGAGTCCCCACCTGTTCACTCATTAAAGCCGTCATTTCCCATGAGTTCCTGAGCATAGTCATAGCCATTTTTAGATCTTTATCTTTTAATCCCGTCATCTGAGTCATCTCAAGGTGAATTTCACTTGAGGCTTGTTTTTTTTCCTCTTGGGTGTGGTCCACATTCTCTTGCTCCTTCTCTTGTTGACTGATGTTTCCTTGTATGATAGATGATAAGAATGATGCACTGTAGATATTCTGAGTCATCTCATTTCTCTCCAGAAGAATATTAGCCTTTGATGCCAGGGACAAGCATAAGCAATCACCAGATGTGTTCTTCACTTCCGGAATAAAGTCCTTAGGAAAAGAGCCTTAACGGGGAAAGGGCTATTTTGGCTCATAGCTTCAGACCTAAACTCACGTCATTTGCAGTAGGGCTGCAGGGAAGAGACAGGGCCTGGGAAGACGTACCCTTCCAGTGACCAATTTTCTCCAGCGAGGCCCCACCTGCTTCCCAGCACCTCCTGTAGTACCACCACATGCTGAGTTTGATGTTGCTGGGTTATTCTTATTCGCTGACCTCTCAGCACCATAGCTGAGGACCAAGGCTCCAGCTTGTGAGCTTCTGCTGGCGGCTGGTGGGCTTATATCCGAGCGGCACCGCTGAGGCCCTCATACTTACACGATACTGGTGCTTCTCTGCAGTTTTTGTTCAGACAAGTACATTTGGGTAGATGCCTTATCTACAAAACAATTGTATTATAAATGGAAGTCCTTCTGTAATTTCTGTAGGAGGGCAGAGGTGTTTTCCGAGCTTTGTTTACTTGGCAAGCTCAAATTCCAAAACCTGTGTGCACTGGAGAGAGCAGTTGAGGCCTCGGCTCCTGTGGCCGCCCGAGTCGGGAGCTGACCACAGGCTTCGGGACTGACCACTAGGTTTGGGGTTTTCTTGTTTTCCTTTCCAGCCACTCTGTAAGTCCTGGTCGCCTGACAGACACCTCAGGCTGGAAGGATTGCGCTGCAGCAGGTGGGAGGGGCCTGGGAAATGAGGGCAAGCCCGTGCAGACCTGGGTCCTACTGATTCCTGCTCCCAAGCATTGAATCCCCTCAAGTTTCTCCCGAGTGACTTCTTGGAGGCCCTTTCAAACAGTTTCCGCTTATGTTTAGCTCCGCCGTTGTAGCCATTACCTGAGTGAAGGTTTATATGGCTTGGAGTTGGAAATCTCGTCTTTTCCTCTGATATAGCATGTGATTAATAAGTGTCTTAGTGTTTCCATTGCTGTGAAGAGACAACATTCTGTGTCTCAACATTCTGTGAGGCTCTTATAAAAAGAAAACATTTAATTGGAGTGGCTCACAGTTTCAGAGGTTCAGTCCCTTATCTTCATGGCAGGACATGGCAGTGTGCAGGCAGACATGGTGCTGGAAAAGGAGCTGAGACTTCTACATCTTGACATAGAAGCAGCAGAAGGAAAATGTGTCTCTCACACTGGGCATGGCTTGAGCATGTAGAATACCTCAAAGCCCACTTCCACAGTGACACACTTTCTCCAAAAAGATCACACCTACTCTGACAAGGCCATGCCACCTAATAGTGCCACTTCCTATGGACCAAGCATTCCAACACATGGGTCTCTGGGGACCATTCTTATTCAAACTGCTATCATAAGATGAATCAAAAATCCATTTTGCTGGTGTTAAAAAGAACTTAGCGCCCTCGTCCTTGTTCATGGTGAGGAGTCATCCTGTGCAGGGGTAGCAGTCTCCCGGGGTCAGTGCGCAGTTGATGGGAAGACTATCACGATGACGAGCTTGCCAGCGACTACTCACAGCCTTGACTGCAGACACGGCCAAATACGACCCTGATTTATGTCACAGCCGCAAAACTCGGTTTTGATCTGCTGTCCCTGTTGTATGAAGGCAGAGCTGTTTGCATTGCAGCCACAGGTGTTGTGACCACCAGACTTGCACTGTTAGCTCTTAGGCTGTGGAATGGCATCTTCCTTAGCTCAGTAGGGAACTATAGTCATGACAGCAAAATGCTTTCAAGTCATGCTTTGGGTGTTTGCTAAGGGGAACTTCTGCTAGATGAAGGCCTTTCTTGGGGTCATAGCCTTAGGGAAATGGTTGAGTGTTTGAAGTCCTGCTGGGGATCTGCCTGTGCAGGAAGGCTCTCAGGTGGAGCTCTCTCCCCTCGTGCACTTTGAACTTTATCTTCACAGGTCTGATGCGCTCTCGAGTCCGGGGTGCCGACGCCGCGCAGGCCAAGGTCCTGACCTTCCTGGACAGTCACTGCGAGTGTAACGAGCGATGGCTGGAACCACTGCTGGAGCGGGTTGCCGAGGTGAGCCTGGGTCACGCAGAGGGTGTGCTTGACACACTGGCTGTGGCTTTTCTTGACACTGGGAAGGACGTTGGTACCCTAGGCATTGTTGGTGCCATTGATACAGAATGGTCACTTTGCCCGAGGAAGACAGGTTCCTTGAAGCTGGCAGGAGCCTGGGAAGAAGAAGTGGCCAGTCATGGGGGAATACCTTCCCTGCTCACATGCAGGAACATTTGTGGCCAGCAGGGTTGCCCATTGATAGGAGTGCCGTCTGATGGGGTGCCTGTCGGGAGGACTGGGGTGGCCGCAGTGATTGTCCTCTGCCCTGGTAAGGACAGACTGACCGCCTGTTCCCGGCTTACAAGGAGAAACAAACAGTTTACCGCAATGCCCCTTGGTGGGCTTGTCAGGTGATCTTTGACCACACTCGGGCACATCCTGCCTTCTAGAAGCTTCAGCACTGTACTGTGTGTGGCCTATTCTTCTTGCCTTCTGCTTGTCTTTCTTTCTTTCCTGGCTGCTATGAAAGTGCTTCCTTGGGGGCCACAAAGCAAACATAATGAAAGGAAACAGAACGAGCACGTTCTGCAGGCTGCAAGTCACTAAGTCACCAAAAGCTGCTCAAGTCCCATCTCTGCCCTCTACTGGGCTCAGGTGCCGCTCAGCCGATAGGTGAGGAACCGACTTCAGGGACCTCAGTAACGTCCACAATCACATGGGGTCATTCAGGGACTTCAGTAACGTCCACAATCACGTGGGGTCATTCAGGGACTTCAGTAGCGTCCACAATCACGTGGGGTCATTCAGGGATTTCAGTAGCGTCCACAATCATGTGGGGTCAGGTTGCCCTCAACTGGCCCCTCTCTGACACACCCACCCATGTCACACAACTTATCCCAGTGTCCTAGCCCCACTGGCTGAAAGCCGAGCTAGGGCTAGCTTCCCACCATGTTGGAGAGTCATGGAGTTGCCAGCTCACAGGGGCAGGCCAAGATGAGGGTTCTTGTAATCTCTTCTCAGCAGAAAGAACATGAAGCACCCGATGCTCAGCCTTCGGGAGTAGGGTGGCCGCAGGGACTGCTGGTCTCCATGGCCCAAGGCTTGTTTCCCAGCAACCCTCAAGCCCATGGGGGACACCTGTGAAGAGTGCCGAGCTCTGCCAGTCCTGTCACTGAGCTTCCTTCGAGTATCTCTTTGGCTAGCAATACTCTGTAACTCAGACCACACACCCTCTCGTCAGCATGAGGCAGAGCTGCATCTGAAGGTCTGAGGAAGTCAAAGGGCCTGTGTTTGCCCTCAGCAGAGTGGCACTGAGACATGAACAAAACGGGTCAGGGGAAGGTGGGCGTGTCCGGTAGAATCCCAGAGGAGTTGAATTAGGATCTGAAAACTCCAGTCGGTTGCTGTGGAGGTGATGACTTCCGCCTCTCTTATGCCATCTGCACCCAGAAGCCGTTCTGTCTTTGTGGTGTAGGCACCTCAGCCCTGAGTTCATTCCTGAGCTGTCCCAGTGCAGCCCATGAGAGGGTGGCGGTCATAGAGTGGCTGGGCCTAGCTCTGCTCACTGAAATCTACCCAAGGTTTCAGGGCCACTGCACAGCCTGGGAGAAGAAGTAGCAGAAGTGTCCAGTCGTCAGCTGCCCCTCTCATGCCACCGCCCCTGCCCACTTTGCAAGGGTGGTATCTCATGGGAAGGCCTGTTGGGATGGTGGCTTTTGCTTTATGGGGACGTAACAAATATTCTCTCCTTCCTTTGTCCCTGTTCAGGACAGGACCCGAGTTGTGTCCCCCATTATTGATGTCATTAACATGGACAACTTCCAGTATGTGGGTGCCTCTGCTGACCTCAAGGGTGGTAGGTGTCAGCCGTGATTTGTCTACCTGCTGGCTTGTTCTGTGTGGCTAGGCTCCTGACCTCTGCTGTCCTATGGTCAGCAGTAACATTGACAACAGAGTTCACATAGTATGGGTTCTGATGGGTACACCTCACAGAAGAAACCAGCCCTACTTCCCTGGCAGAAACCCCAGCCTGTTAACCCGTCCCTCTCTCCTGGAGCTGTTACTGAGAGACCTAGTGGAATGTGCAATGTCCCTGCAGATAGAGGTGGAGACGCCCCAACAACTGAGGGGCGATCTGAGAGGCTTTAGAGCTGCTCCCAGCCAGAGGCAGGGCTTGAGAGACTCCATGGAATTTAGGATTTGCAGAATGGGCCTGGAACCTGTTTTTGTGTCCTCTGGCTGTTCTAGCCCTTCCTCTTGTAGCCTATATGCCTGGCCAGCTTGCTGCCCTGGAGTTCTGCCATCCCGCTGCTGGCCCTCACTGCCTGCCCACTAGGCACCAGTCCTACCTTTGTGTTCAAGCTTGGATGCTGGCCCTTCCTCCCCTCCACCCAAACATAGCCTGCTTCACCACTGGGTGACCTTTGTTTTTGTGAATGGACTGGCATCTTGTAGGGTCATACAGCCTACAAATGTTAGAGAAATTCGTCCAAGATTTTCCTTTGCTTTTAGGAATTGTTGACTTCAGTGCTTTGCAGGTGGGAGTGAGATCGTACTAGACATGACAGTGGAGTCATTGCTGCCCGCAGATGGAGCAGCTTCCTCTGTCCCTGCTCTGTGACTGCAGAGTCACTGCCTCACACAGATCCCCCAACTCCACAATAGCAAAGAGTAGGGTAGAAGGCTGAACTGGCCTAGAGCTCCTGTTACCTTGGCAGTCCTCATAAGTGCTGGGATTACAGGCCTGCACCATCACACTCTGTGTGTAAGATCTTGTCACATGGACCCTGAAAGGTCCTGGTCCAGGCCCGGAGAGCCATGGGTCCCACAGAGGTACTATATGCTACACTGTGGTTCTGGGAGCCAGTTGTGATTTTTCTAGCTCTGACTTGTCCCTAGGTCCCCAGTCTTACGTGCACAGCCCTTGTAGGTGCACTGGCACCACACACAGATACCACACTTGTTCTTACACATTTTAATGTTGCAAAATCCAAGCCAGGCATGATGGCATATGTCTCCAGTCCCAGCCCTGGGGTGGGGGGTGGGGGGAGTGGGCTGAGGAAGGAGGACTGCTGCAAGTTCAAGATCAATCTGGACTACATAGCAGTGCCCTATGTCAAAAACCAACACACACACACCACGGTTAGAGGAGACAAGAAATAAGGTTCAGAGAGCACGTGCTACACTTCAGAGGACCTGAACACAGTGCCTAGCACTCCTGCTCCAAGGGCTTCAGCACTCCCTTTGGACTCCATGGGCACGTGCACTCTTGGGTACATAATCACACACAGACACATAGCCACATGTATTGTTTTGTTGTTTTAAAGAAAACTCAGCTCTGTGTTGCTTTGGCAGACAGAAGATTTTGCTGTGCACCATACTCCCCCACCACCCGTTTCCCGGCCACCCCAGCTGTTAGTTTCCCTCCTCACCGTCTTCATCTTGGTTGGTTGGCAGTGAGCCTGTCCATATGTGCCGTTGTCAAGACACTAGGGTGGGACAGCCAGGTGAGAGGGGCTGTGTCTTCTCATCTCTATTTCTTTTCTGGGTCGGCAGGTTTTGACTGGAACTTGGTGTTCAAATGGGATTACATGACGCCGGAGCAGAGGAGGTCCCGGCAGGGGAACCCAGTTGCACCTATAAAGTAAGTGCAGCATATGGCAGGAAACCCTCCTCGGGGAGAGCCCACACCTGACCCCTGCCGCAATGTGCTTCCAGGATACTGGGGCTCTGTGCCTCCCACCCTCCAGGTTCCTGGTTTCCCTTCAAGACCAGCATCTGCTACCAGGTCAAACAGTGAGGAAATTTTAGGTCCCTTTTCTTAGAAGGCTTCTCTGCTGACTCATGTTGTCTCCTTTTTATGTTTTCTGTAGCAGAGTGGTGTTGTCAGAGACTGCTCATTCGTTTCTGGCCATCCAGACCTGAAATAATCACACAGAAACCATATTATTTGCAATCCTGTTCAGCCAATAGCTTAAGCGTATTTCTAGCTAGATCTTACATCTTAAATTGACTTATTTCTATAATTTTATATTTTACCATGAGGCTCATGGTTTACCAGAAAGGTTCCAGTGTGTCTGTCTCCTGTGGCGGCTCCATGGCATTCTCTCCTCCTCTATCTGCTTGGAATTCTTGCCTTACCCTATTCTATGCTGTAATAGGCCCAAAGCAGCTTCTTTATTAACCAGTGGCATTCACAGCATACAGATGAGACTCTCACATCAGAATGGAACTATATGCTATCGACTTAAGTGTTACTACTGTGCTTACCTCCTAAGTTAAGGCACATAAAAACCAAGGGTCTCAGCCTTTGTGGGACCCCAGGCAGTGACATAGAAGCCAGTGGAGAATGAAAGACCCCCTCGGAGCACAGCAGAGGACAGATGTCAGCCTGTGGTGTGGTCTAACTTCGCCCTTGCTCCTTCTTCCTCTTCAGAACCCCTATGATCGCTGGAGGCCTGTTTGTGATGGATAAGCTCTATTTTGAAGAGCTGGGAAAGTACGACATGATGATGGATGTGTGGGGAGGAGAGAACTTGGGTATGTACAACCCTCTGGCCTCAAGTCCACCAGTGTCTCCGGGATGAAGTATGGGAGGCAGGGTGGCATGGTAGCACTTAAGGCCCCAGAGCAGCCATTCAGTGGGCAAACACGTCCCTGAACACGCGTATGTGCATGCACACACACTTACCACAGGGATGATGGTAGAGGAGACCAAAGTTCAGGTCATCCTGCACAGAAGCCAGGTGCTATCACATCCTTTGACCTGGGGGTTCGGAATGCATGCCTCCAAAACTGGAGAAATCTGGCTGATTCCAGGGCTCTGGTTAATGTAGAATGGTAGTGGGGTTGGGCAGCTGCTGGTTGGGCCCTGATGTTCAGATCCTTCTCCACAGCTTTTGTTTGTTTTTATTGTTCCTCTCCTTTCCTCCCCCTCCCCTCCTCCTTTCTCCCGCAGCCCCCACTTCTAATTTACCAGGAGATCTTGTCTTTTCCTCCTTCCTATGTAGATCCATGTGTGTCTCTCTTAGGGTCTCCTTTGTTGTCTAGGTTCTCTGGGGTTGTGTGGAGAACGTGTTTGCTAGAAGTGGGATGTGGTCCCTTTCCAGGTGGTGGTCTGCACAGGCAGCTGTCTCCACATCTTGTGTGACAGATGAAAAGACTCCAGTCAGCTTGTCGGGTTTTGTTTCTTGTTTTACTTGAAGCCTTTGGTCTTAAGTGCGTGTCATTCAGAGATGACTCCCCTCACTATCCAGAGTTTAGCTTTTTTAGTTAGTACGCAGGTGTGCCCTGTGAGGAAAGGGGACTCAAGAGGGAGGAAAGTACTCACTTTGAGTAGTTTTTCTTGTGACAGAGACTTTGATAGTTTCTGTTGGCTTAAAAGAACAGCTTCCGCTAGCCTGTTGTTGGAATGTGTCATTTGAAGTTGAAGTTGGTGGAGACATTTCATCTGGTAGGGCGCCTCCACCCAGCATGATAAAAAGCTGCTTCCAGCTCTGGCTCCGTGGGGAGGGAAGGGAGGGGTCATGAGTCGGTCTCTTTTCCTTGTCTCGGTGCAGTGTTGGGCTTGGGTGAAGCTTTCTGAGCAAGAAAGACTTTGAAGTAGTGAACCTGAAAGGTCCCTGAGCCTCTTCCACCTGTAGGTTCCAGGGGCTAGAGCCACCCAGCGGGGCAGTGTGTGTCCTGAGTGCAGGAGGCCACGGGAGGAACTGATGTGGTTCTGAGAGACAGGCTGACAGATACACTCAGCCCATCTCCTGTGTCACTGTACAGAGGTTGATTTGTCTCTAAGGTGACCTGGCCTGGAGCCCAGAGAGAAGAGAGCACAAGGTTGATGTCATGGGCTTTTGTTATATTCTGCTTAATAACCCAAGCAGTTGGGGAAGGCAACCCTTGAGTGGAAGGCCTTCCCTTCTAGGAGGAGGTCTGATGTCCTCTGGTCCCTGGCAGGTGCCCCCTGGAAACACTTGGAGGCTGAGCAGAGGGTTTCAGCAGGACCACCAGGCCTGTGATGGGGTCCACCTTCTGCGGAGCCCTACAGATTGCTGGCAGTTAACAGTCCATGCCGGTTTGGTGGCTGTAATGCTGGGAGGAGGAGAGTAAAGTTGTCTGAGAAATGTCAGAGCATGTCTTCATGTGTGCTCACAAGACTGCCTGTTTTCCTGACCAACAGTAACTGACGTAGGAAGCAGTTGCAAAAGAAAAATGGTGTGAGATTCGGGACAGGGCTGTCTTTTAGGCAGGTCCTGGTGGTGTTAGGATGGGTGTCCTGTGCTTCTAGTGCCCAAAAGAGAGGCCTAGGGAAGGTGTACTCCATGCCCAGGGCCCACAGGCTAGCAGCAGAGGGGATGCCCAGGCCCAGGGCTCATGTGAAATCAGTTGAAAGGAGCTGCCGTGGGCTCAGCCTGGAAAGCAGCCGACCTGGCCTCCAAGCTGCCCCTTGCTGGCTCAGCAGATGCCCTGACCAGAGAGATGATCTTGGAGTCTTCATGCAGGCGTATTCATACGAGTTTTCTTCCTGAGATACAGTGTGTCTCACTCACAGTTTTATTGGATGTTGGAAAAGCTGAGAAACCTCCTATCTGTTCAGGTGAGGTTGGCCTCACAATGCAAGAGAATTGGTTGATGGAATCTTTTCTTCCCAAGCTTGCCCTGCTCTCCCTCCATTCCTGGACAGGGCTCCAGGCAGGACGACCAAGTGACATTCAGACTCCCAGCACTGCTGCCACGACAGCACGCTGGCCTGGAAGACTTAGCCCACCACTAGCTTCACGGTTTGCAAAGATCTCCTCATTTCTTTCTCTGTCCCGTCGGTGACTGTGCTGGTTCTGTAGAGTTCTTGTGCTAGCACGTGCTGAGGGGTGTGGGCACCGCCTAGAGAGGAGCTCCTTCTTACAGACTTCAGTGGTGGCTTTCAGAATGGCACGCGTTGCTCTTCCTGTTTAAACTTAGTTGTCTTGCTAAGGGTGGGGGACTGTCCCTGGTCACTACCCTGGGAACTTGGTTAGCGCCTGGACCTGATGGACCTTGCCTATGAGGGTGATAGGCAAGGATTCTTGTTTTCCCGGAAAGAAAGAGTGCACCCTGGTACTCAGTGTACAGGAAGTGGTGTGGAGAAGCCTGGGCTGTGCCCCGTCTCCATGGACAGCTGTGGTTTGCTGGGATGCACACTCCCGTAGTCTGGGAGACTTGTGGGCCGGTGTTTTCCTTGCATGTTCAGTTTGGGGTGTGCTGTGGACTTGGCCTATGCAGATGTATCCAGGGTTTGTGCTATAAAAGGTTCCGGATCTGGTTCCAGAGAAGCAGCCCTTCATTGGTTTTCCTTGCAGTTAAAAGTGAGCTGTAGTAGGTGGCTAGGACAGGGGTAGCAATGCCATGGAGACAAGAGCTGTGGCAGACTTATGGTTGCCGAATTCCCTTTTTATCAGAAATCTCATTCCGAGTGTGGCAATGCGGTGGCAGCCTCGAGATCATTCCGTGTAGCCGTGTGGGACATGTGTTCCGGAAGCAGCACCCCTACACATTCCCAGGTGGCAGTGGCACTGTCTTTGCCCGGTAAGTTGTCTGCGGTCTGCTCAGAAGACACCCTGGAACTGTGTGGCGACAGCGTCCTTTGACAGGCATGGCCTCCAGGCTGAGAGAAGAGGGTATTCCAGTAAGAAAAGAAGCTGCTCGGTGTGCTCCGTGGAGAGCTCAGAAGAGCGTCACGGGGGCAGGGTGCAGATGTGGCCACTAAAAGTGTGGTGTCAAGGGAGTTAGCACTGGGACGGACACCAGGGAAAGGCTACCATGTGATGGGCACAAAAACGTACACAGGTATCGCAAAGGGGAACCTGGTTTAGTGCTGTATCACTCGGTGCAAATAAGACCAGTGTTGTTCTTCCACCACGCACTGCAGTAACGGTGCTGCTGCGGAGTCATTAGAAAAGCGGCGTTGTTGGCTGACTGTCCGGTAGCTAAGGTATCAACCCCTACCAAGGGCTGTCCCGCTGCCCATGTAGTGAAGGGTAGGAGAGGAGATGGGAACACAGTAGCTGCCCTAGTCTCACGACTGCAGAGCCCATGGCCTGGCCACTGCTTGAAGCTCCTGCCTCTCGGTGTCATTTCAGCACAACTAGATCTTCGGCATGAGTTCTGAAGGAGCAGACATTGAAACCGTATCAGAAAGCACGTCACACTTCTCTCCAGCCGAGACGTCATGGGTCATAACCGATTAGTGATTGGCAATAGATTCTAGTAAACAAAACCAAAAACTGCTTGGTCCAGCCAGGCTTTTCCTGGGAATCTTTTCCCGTTCTAAAATGGTAGCCCACACCTTTAACCCCAGTGCGCAGAAGGCGGAGCAGGTAGATATCTGTGAGTCTGAGGCCAACCAAGGTTACATAGTGAGACCCTGTCTAAAATAACAAAAAACTGAGACCTCATAGGGGCAGACAGTATGGAACTGGCCCTTAGGGAGCAGCCAACAAAACCTCTAAGTCAGACAAGATACTTCTGATGCTCATCTGGTCAGCGCCATGGGGAAGGGAGATTGGGCTCACCGGACAGCTGAGGGACAGACTTGACAAGTTAAGACACACAGAGCTCTGTGTGGAGATGGCGTAAGACTTCAGGCTGTTGGACCCAGGGAAAGAACATCAGTGGCCAGAGTCTGCAGAATGTTTCAGGGGTTTCTGCCCATGGTTACTTGCCTCTTTCTGAACCTCTCTAGAGACAGCTGGTGGCAGTGTCATGTCAAGAGGCTTCTCACTGCATGGCGGGCGGGAAGGCAGATAGAGCCCCATGGGGATGCCTGCACTCCCTACCTTTCACCAACACCACCAGATTGTGACTCTGCCGAGGGATATGGCCATTGGTTAGGTCAGAGCCTCCTTGATCTATTCATTTCTGCCCCCCTACAGACATACCCAGAAAAGCCCAGAGGTGTCTTTCGGTCATCTGGGCACTTCCCAGTGCACAAACCTACATGTCTGTGAGTGTGCACTCCACAACCACTCATCAGTCCCTAGTGTTTCCACTATACACCGTGAAGTGAGGACATTTGCACACGTATTTCATTTCTGGGGTTAGCACCAGGATTCCAAGAATGAGTGTGTTTACATCTTGTCTCAGTGGCAGCAGTCTGGCCCCTCCCCCATTCAGGGACAACAGGAATATTTATCACTTTATGGGGAATATGGAGGCCCCACATGGAGATGGATTTAGTAATTACAGCTCAGACAACATGACAGGTTTAGCATTTAAAATGCCTTTACTGTAGAGAAAAAGATTTCCCTGTAGGGCAACCACTGCCTGCCTGCTGTCTTCATGGAAGAACATGCTAGGCCATGTTTCCTCTGAGCAGAGGATCTGCTGTGTCTGTGCTTACAGTGGCCCTTCCTAAGTGTTGTGGGTGGGTGCATGCTTCCTGTATGAACCAGAGCTGAGGACAGTGAGGATCCCTAGGCCCAGGGCATGGCGGCCCCACCTCTCCATGCTGTCATTTCTAATCTACCCATCACTTCCCCCTCAGCCGAAGGCCACATGAAAGAAAGTGAAGCTAAGGGAGCTCCTTCCCTTTCCCAGTATGCTAGTGGTTGGTGCTGCACCCACGCATGCTGTGGGAGGCTGGGATGACCAGAGTCTCAGTGGTCTCTGCTAGAGGCTCCTTCTCCATGGCCCAGCAGGGGTTTCATCTCAGCACACGTCTGTGCTGTCCTCGCAGCTTCTGCTAGGGACACACTCGTGGGCACTGTCCTTATTCACACCAGCAGGCAAGCATGGCCAGGTAACTCTGGGGACAGGATGGGAGCTGCAGCTCAGGAAGGCGCAAACAACAGGTAACTGGGGACAGGATGGGAGCTGCAGCTCAGGAAGGCGCACTTGGTTTGCAGGAACACCCGCCGGGCAGCTGAGGTCTGGATGGACGAATACAAGAACTTCTACTACGCAGCAGTGCCTTCTGCCCGAAATGTGCCCTACGGAAAGTGAGTGCTGCCTGCCTGGTCCTTCTAGTGTGGGCGTTGGGAGCAGGTGGGGTAGCTTGCAGCATCAACAGGTGCCTCTGCTCTTTGCCAACAAGGCCCTGGTGGGAGGCGAGCAGGTCGTGGGCACTAGAGGCTGGACGGACCATGCCTTACCACCTAGGCCACATCAGTCTCCCTGGCATTCAGAAGTGAATGTGTCTCTCCTTTCCTCCAGTATTCAAAGCAGGCTGGAGCTCAGGAAAAAGCTGGGCTGCAAGCCCTTCAAGTGGTACCTGGACAACGTCTACCCAGAGCTAAGGTGAGTCCTGCGGGCCTCAGTGCATATCATGAAGGTTGAGAAACAAAGATGATCAGAGAGGTTCCAGAGGCTTATAAGGCTGGGAGCTGGCTACCAGGGAGAGCCCGTGGTGCCACCCCTACAGGTGCCCACAGACCCTGCTCTCTTACAGAGTTACCTCGCTGTGTGGGCCTGGAAGAATTCCAGAGCACCTCTGCTTTGACTTTAGTGAGGCAGAGGCTGTCTCTCCATGGCACCCTGTCTCCAGGGGCCAATGCTGCTCCTCAGTCCTCACCCCCATAGCTGCCTTCAGCTGCTCCTGCCTTCTTGGTGAGCATAGGGTAGGATTAGCAATGATGGTGTCACCTATTGGAGGGTGAATGACAGAAACGCTCTGCCGAGCCTCAACCCCACTCTTCACTGTCAGCTGCCAGGACCTCTATGTCCTGAGAGGACCAGTGGGCTCTGGCAGCAGATGCTCCAGGTCCTCATCTGCAAGGGCCCACACAGTTAAGGCTGAGCATAGGATGCTTAATCCAATGACCGCGGCCTCTCCAAGGTGAAACCAAGCTTTTGTCTTCCTAAGCACGTGATACTCAACATACAGTCCACCATGTGTGCACATTGGACCACTCAACAGATCCTCACAGACTGCGCCCTCCTGACCCCTGTGAGGAGCTCTCCCTCCGCAGAGCACTAGGAAACTTCTTCCATTTGCAGCTGATTTTGTCATTTGAGATGGGGAAGGGGCTCTCCCTCTGTAGCCCAGGCTGCCTTAACTCTCACAGAAACCCTCCTCTAACCTTCTGAGTGTTGGGACTACAGACACGTGCCACCGCGTCTGGCCCACTTACACTCTTGGGAACCCAGAGGCTATAGCCGTATCATGTCAGGGAGTGACAAGAAGCCACTCTGTTTCTGCTGCCTAGTTTGAGACCATGTGCAGAGGGCGTGGTGAACAGTAACTCCAGGGTGCAGGCACTGACTCGTACAATGAATACCTTTCAGGGTTCCAGACCACCAAGACATAGCTTTTGGGGCCTTGCAGCAGGGAACCAACTGCCTGGACACATTGGGGCACTTTGCCGATGGAGTCGTTGGAATTTATGAGTGTCACAATGCTGGAGGAAACCAGGTAGGCGGACAGAAGGTGGTATCAGCGCCTGTTGTTCAGGCTGTGACTGCAGGCGTCTCCCTGACCTCTTCCTGTCGGCTCTGTCACCCTCGCCATAGCTGCTCCCATAGTACCAGGCCTTCATCTGCACCCGTGTTGGTCCTTGATGTGTCATAAACTGCCTAGTCCCTGCTTAGCAGGCTCTTGGCGTCAGCCTTTTCGGGTGGAGGATCAGTGCCTGCTAGTGAAGATTAGGAGGTGTTGGGCTCCACCCCTTGGCATACTTGGGGACTGGCACACTTTACCACAGCCTCGGATGCCTCACCCCACGGCCTACCTGGGGTCCATGTGCCCATGGGCTGTGCTGGAAATGTAGAACTGCAGCCAGCAGCCACCGTGCACACGAGGCCTTAAGATGTGTCTGCTGTGAACCGAGTCCTCAATGTTGTTTAACTCTCCTGAGTTTAAATTCAGGCTGCCGTGTGTGGCTGGTGGCTAGCACTCAGTGCTTGGAGGGGATGACACCAGCAGTCCCTACCAAGACTTCAGGCCTCTCAGGGTTAATAGAGGAGTGTCCGTGGGTGGGAAACAGTGCTTCCTTGGCTCTCAGCAGCGTGGTCCGAGCTCTGCTGTTTGGTTCCCAGTGTAGCCTCAGCAGCACACAGGGAACGAGAGAATTGATGGCCATGCCCTTTAAGGATGGCAGCTCATAGAGGCATCTCAAATACTTTACACATTCAGGTTGCTGATGGACCCAGCACAGAGGTGGCCGGTCCTGCTGCTTGCGTAGCCAAACCAGATTTTTTGACAACAGTGTATTTCCCTTCCTAAAATAACGAAGTGCACAATGTCCTCATGTGATCGCCATGGCTGCCTCAGCATCTGCCCACACTTGTTATAGGAAGTAGACTAGACCCTCAGAGCTCAGAGGTTCCCATAACCCTCCTGACCACAGCCGGTGTGTCTCCAGCTGTTGCCCACATATAGGTGTGGTGGACAAGGAGTGGAGATGGCAGGGGTCGTGGGCTTCTATATTCTAGAGCTGCGGTACACCCTGGACACATCTGGAACCCAGCACGCTGGGTAAATAGCAGACACACTTTTCATTATCCTACCAAAACAGCTGACAAACAGCTGAAGAGAGGAAGGTTCCTGTGTCCTCCCCTCGTGTCTGGAAGCAGACGGTAGACAGGAAGTAGGCACAGAAGGGCCTTCCCCAGTGACTCCTGCTAAGGTACAGTGATACAGAGAAAAAAAACCTTCCCATTTCAAGGCAGGAATAGACCAAGATCAGACCAAAGCCCCAGGCTCACTTCTTTCCCCAGCCTCTCTGTCCTGGACACCCCCATCCATTCTGTGTCCTGCTACCCTCGCTTGCCCTCCATACCCCCTTGCCTCCTGCACTCCCCAGAGTCAAGAGACCACATGCCCAGTGGCTGCCCCAGTGTGAGTTCTGTCCCTTTTGGATTTCAGTGTCTTGCTGCCACCAGACTGCTTGGCAGTTGATAGCACGGTGTCTCTGCTGTTTATCAGCCCTATCCTGTGGTCTGAGAGAGAAAAGGCAGCCTTTGCAGCTCTTACATCCTGCATCCTCCTTTTCCCCACTGAGGGACACAGAGCTCAGCGGCACCAGAGGAAAGCTGAGAAGCCCCAGGGCCTGGGCAGCTCTGTATCCACGTGGATCCTGGAGGCCCTATATGGGTGGCTATACCCTTAAATGGATCAGGTTCTTACATGACTTTAGGAAACCCTACCTTCTGGCCCTACACAGAGCCACTGCCATCCATAAATGTCACTCCCTCTCTGTCCTCAGTCTTCCATCTTCTACGTGATCTTGTTTAGCATTCAGAGAGATGATTGACAGTCTTGCCCTCTGTGTGCACATGCATATACATGTGTTTGAGTTTTTAAAAGCATAGGCAAGAATATTTAAATGCATTCCGACCCAGTTTTCTTGTCTGGAAAGTCAACAAAGCCCCCATGCAGTTCTTGTGAAGAGACCTGAGATGGTTTGGCATATAGTGAGCATCCAGTTAGAGGAGCCATGCTGTGTGTTGACGTGTAGATTGTTCCAGCAGCAGGTTCCTGCAGACGTCAGCCCTGTAGATATTTGCTGAGAGCTGCAATATATCATTTATATAATTTTCACAAACTCAGCCTACATTCATAAATCTGTTTCCAAACCAGAGCCATTCCAGAACAATGCGGGAGGAACTGCGGGTGAGGGCCAGACAGGTGACCCTGCTCTCCAGCCTGCACTTTGACCTAAAATACTTAATACGATTAGTCTTGATAACTCTGTTAGTTAACTTTTCTGGGTTTTGTTTAGTCATGTTTCTTGATACGATTCATTTTTGTCACTGTATTAACTAACTCCGTTTCTTGCTGCTCTGACCAAACACTCGACAGAAACGACTTGAGGGTGGGTTTATTTTGGTTCCTGGATTGAGAGCATAGTCAGTCCATCATGACCGCGGAGGCTGCAGGAGTGGGGAGTTCCACAGCTTCCCATGTGTTCAAACACATTTGCCACTAAAGCAAACTGTTCCCCAGGGCGAGCTTAGTGGCCAGGTGGGGTAGCTGAGTCAGGGGTCCCTGATGGTTGCAGTCTGACTGTGGTCTCTTCCAGGAATGGGCCTTGACAAAGGAAAAGTCGGTGAAGCACATGGACCTGTGCCTTACTGTGGTGGACCGGTCTCCTGGCTCGCTCATCAGGCTGCAGGGATGCCGGGAGAATGACAGCAGACAGGTGCGTCACTCAGGAACAAGGTGGCACAGGTCCTAGGCTTCCATGGTGGTGACAGTGACAAGGGCCACATGGTTATCCCCTCGCCCTCAGATCCAGTTGCTGCCATTCCTACACTGGAGGGTTCGCATCACACAGTCCCCCTCACACCACAGCGCATTTCATATGAAATTACATGATTTTTTTAAACAGAAACATTAACCACTTGTTTTACAAATTCTAATCTAAATGATTAAACACGTGAGCCTGGGCGAGCACAGAGACGGCAGCAGAGCCACTCACATCCCACAGCAAGTAGACTTTGGGGCTTTGAAACCACTTCTCTCAGGGCCAGCTGCCTGTAACATGACATTCTCCTGAAGTCCAGAACCACAGCAGCCTCTTCAGCTCCCTGTCAGCCCATCGTAAAGGGAGTGGCTGCTCGCCCTCAGTGCCCTGGGCTGTGTGACCGAGTGTTGGGAGGTGCATCTATGTCACTCGAGATCACAGAATCTTAGCCCTGGTGAGGTGAGGAGCCTCTCTGTATGTTGCTTCTTCCATTGGGTCCACGCTTACTGAAGCCTTGGAAGCTGGTCTTGGTCTGGCTGGGGGTCTTGACACCACCTTTCTGAGCCTTAGAGCACCAGTTGGCATTAGCAGTAGCTATGCAGGCAGGCCCTTCTAGCCTATTGCAGGAGGATTCAGCCAGTCTCCCCACAGTCCCTCCCTAGAAGACATGGGGAAACTGAGGCCTGAGGGCTACCAGAGCCACAGCTAAGCCACCTTCCATCCACCTGATTTCACAAAGAGAAGCAGAGACCCAATTTCCCAGCTCATCACCACTAGGACGGGGGCGTAGCCATCATCCAGTTCCTGTTTAGATCCCAGGTATCGGAGAAACGCCAGCAAAGGGTCCTCTCTCCCCAGCCGTCTCCAGAGAGCCGCTCCCATCTCTGGGCGCCCTGACCCTGGAGGATGAACAGGGAAAGCCACTGTCCCCAGATACGTAGAACACATCCAAGCTAGCCACAGCCTAAGTGTCCTTGCGGTGTCTTTGACATAAAGCAGTGATAAAGTGAGACTTTAATCTGGTCCTTGCTGTAAGAGTGGACAGAAGCACTTGCTAGGGTTATTCTTGGCTCCTTTACTGACTCTAAGGCAGGGGAGGCTACACTTGGTCCTTCTGGGTGGTGAGTACAGCCTCATGCCTCCACCTGTGGGAGAACAGATTCAGTGACTCCACTGAGGGCCACCTTCCAAGGACAGCTGTGACCTCAGTATTTTCTTAGCACCCCCTGTCCAGCTGATGCTTCAGCATATGACAGACAGGGTCCCCCCCCCAGGAGCCAGCATCAGATTCTGTTCACTCCGCTCTCTGTCAGGCAGACTCTTGGCATGCTTTCCATGACAATCATGGGGACCTGAGAAAACCGACAGCGTCAAGGACAGGGAGGGAACGAGATGGTGCAAATGGCAGAGCCTCTCCGGCTGTGGTTGCCCTTGACTTCCACTGTTGGCAAGGAATCTGCATGAGCAGGTGGAAGAATAATCAGGAGGGTCAGGAGAGGGCCGCTCGCATCAGCCGTGCTGGAGGGTCAGCCTCACGGCGTGTCTCAGTGCGGTGCTTTACTGTTTGGCCATTGAGAACAGTGGGTTTCTGGGCACGTGTATGTGGCATTTGCACAGTCAAAAGGAGAAAGGAGGCAGCAAGAGTGAAAAAGTTAATTCCATGGTGTCCGAATTTTCAGACATACTCCAGGAACTTTTAGTGCATGCTTCAAAATTAATTAGAGCCAAGTCCTTGTTAATGGAAGAGGAGCTGTGGGGAAGAGTGTATTATTTTAAAAAATAAAACCATAAATATTTAAATAGAATGTTTACATTACTTGCTAAACAGTAGGATAAGGGCATCTCAGACTTGTTGAGGCTGTTAGGGCTTTGTGCGTGGCAGAGTGGGTTGGTGGACTTGCTGGCTATGGTTGGCTCTAATGTGCCAGTATTCACAGTAGCATTGTTAGGATAACCTGTGCCCAAGAGTGAAAGACTGCAGCTAGCAGGTGTGTGCCCACAGTCACCCACAGACTCACACTCCTCTCCCCTGCTGTTCTCTTGTCTGCTGCAGAAATGGGAGCAGATCGAGGGCAACTCCAAGCTGCGACACGTGGGCAGCAACCTGTGCCTGGATAGCCGCACAGCCAAGAGCGGAGGCCTGAGTGTGGAGGTGTGTGGCCCGGCCCTGTCGCAGCAGTGGAAATTCTCACTCAACCTTCAGCAATAAGAGGCCTCAAGGGCCCGCCGTCCGCCTGCACACCGGCTCAGTTGGAAGATCACATTTTACGTTTCTGAAACTTTCCGCAAAACTATATACCTCAGTGTTCCATCATGGTCTGAAAGTCTTAAGTCTCAAGTCTCAGCGAGGCGTGAGCTGGGCTGACTGTGTGCAGAAGAGGAAGTTGAGCCCCCGGGGCTCGGGCCAGAGGGTCCCCCTCCCAAGACTGGCGTCCTCTGCCTCCCACTTTCTACTTTCTGCTCACGCCCCAGCAGAGGAACAGGCCAGTGCTGGCCAACCAAGTGGACAAGCAGCAAGCATGTTTGTGTTGAGGACGGAGGGAGCAGGGGCAGGTGCCCTCATAGCAAGCACTCAAAAGTCTCCATTGTGTTTTTCTACCCATCCAAAATCATGTGTGTGAACCAGGCATGGTGGTTGATGCCTGTACTCGCAACACTCAGGAGACTGAGGCAGGCAGACCCTGTCTAAAGAGAAAAGAAGTGATTCCCACAAAGGTGACCCTCCCCCTTGCAGGTTTCCTTGTCTTCCCCTGTCCTTGTACCTCTGGGCTCAGCTGGCCTCTTGGCCACTTCCCCTCTTCCACTGACATACTTGCTGTGTTTGCATATGAACTTCTGAGTGGGACTAAATAGAGATCATAGAAAGAGAATGATAGCTCCCTAGGCTTCCCCTACATCATCATCTTGTGAACCCCACAGCGCAGCTCAGCCGTGCAGAGGGGCCTGCGCTCTCAGAGCCAAAGGCGACATCACTGTCTCTGAAGCCTCACCAGCCAGTCCATGCTGCTCTGCCAGCTGTAGGCATCCCAGAACCACTGGCCCCAGCCACGAGCATCAATGTTTAATGTGAGCGAGGGTCTTGCGGCTGGGTCAGAAAGTCCACTTTGTGCCCATTGTCATCTGTCAACCTAAATAGGTTACCTCTTTTGGCAAGTTATTACTTTGAGTTTTCTTTTAAAATTAGATTTTTTTTCTTTGAGAAAACTCAATCCAACAGCTTCTAAATAATGTGAGCCAGCGGGACCCCACTGCCCTGTGACAGACCAGAGATACTGGACCGCTGTCACATGCTATCCCTAGGCTCATCGTGGTTTGAGACCCTGTATGTTGGGTCCTTGGCACTTACTGAGCCCAGCAGAGCACAGAAGACCATCCCTTCAGCATGTGGGTGAACTCCGCGTGTCTGCAGCCCTGGTACAGTGTTAGCCCCAGGTATATCCTCAGGCTGGTGCAGGAACTGTGGGTAGACTTAGAACCTGGGCATTCACAGAGGATCCAGGCACATGTCAGCCACAGGGGTGGCCTGTGTGTCTGCCTTGTAGGGCTGCAAGCGTCACGCACAAACATCTCAGGTGTCCCCGAGATCACAGGAACCATAGTTTCAGGTGGTCAGAGGGCCGGCCAGTGAGTGCTCTGCTTCCCACCTGCACCGAAAGGGGGCGTGGCTAGTTTTCTTCTACCTGAGGAGCTCCATCTGTGTACACACCATGACCATGGACCCTCTGTGAAGGCCTGGCCAGGTGCTGACCCTCTGTCTCCTTAACCCCTGCCAAGAAGCCAACAAACAATTATATCAGACAGGGTGCCCTTGTGTCTGGTTAAGTCCGCACATGTCCACCTTCCAAGGTAGGCTCTGAGGAATGTCACTCACAGGTACGAGTGCAAGGCTGTCAGGGACAAGGCAGGAACTGAGGCCCAGCGTAGTCCACACTGCTGAGCCCTGACACCTCTGTACTACCCTTAGCAGAGTGAGAGCCACGGATGTGAAGCAGTGCGGGCTGATTTTAAGTAGGTGTGTGGGTGGAGCTTCCCATCCACACACTGGCACCCCACCCTGTGTGTCATCACCTTTGTACCATCTGTCTGGCCACCAGGGTGCCACTCAACCCGGCTCTGAACAGAGGGGGGACTGGGCAAGGCCCTGCGGTGAGCCATGTTTACATGACAGTGTGCCAAAGTGACTCCCCGTGCTCGCCTTCTTTTGTAGCCATGGGGCTATCCCACCCTCCCACTCCTGTTTCTAAAACTGAAAACTCCCAGGAGCCCTGGGCACACGCAGGCAAGGGTGGTCGTTTTCCGTGGTGGTCCTCGAGTCTCCATGAAGCTGGTTATGATGGTATCTGTGAGTATGTCTTGCAAATTCAAAATATAGTTTGGTAATTTTTTTTCCAGTTAATTTTTAAAAAGAACTGCTGTACAGAGCTTGTACTTTGTCCATTTTATAGATGGAAACCATCCTTGAAATTGTTTAACTTAAATAAAGAGAAGATACTTTATAGATATGTTCAGCTGCTGTCTGGTGGTCTCTATGAGGTGTGGGACCAGGCAGAAGGCTGGAATCCAGCTCTTGCTTCTGGGCCCCTCCTCCCTCCTCTAAAACACCTCCAATACCGTGCCTGCTATTATTGTATCCATAATGGCAATTGTTAGTGGGATGGAACAGTTAGGCTGTGCCAGACACCTGCCCAGCCCCTTCAATGCGCTTACACTTCACAGATTTAAGAAACAGGCGCTGATAAAAGTAGGGACTGACCCAAAGTTGCCTGAATCCCATGCGTCCCATTTTCTGTAATCTACCCTGGACACTTGACTCATACCCTCTAGGAACCAAATTCTTACACGTATTTAAAGTGCTCACCAGCCAGCCATCTGTGGCTGTGCCATCCATCCCGGCCTGGCACATGCCCTCTAACACACCTTTGTGTGACTAGCTGTGTGTCCAGGAACATAAACACCAGCCAGCAGTCTCGTAGTTTGGTCCAAGATAAGATCCAAGACTAGGAAACGCCTGAACCCTCCGAGACCACACTCACTCAGTTATTTGAGACAGCAAAACTTTGGCTCTGTGGCCACCTGAGAGGCAAAGGCATTAGCATATAATTTGGCAATGTCCCAGGACCTCAGACTATCTGAAGAGACTCTAAGCCGCATCTCTAAAAGGCCGTCTATCCCCAAGGTCTAGCCTGGGTGCCAGCAGGAGGGTTGCAGGGTGATATACAGGAGGTCTCAGCCCAGGGCCAGACATACAGCTCAGCTGTGTTGAATTTATGGGTCGTGGTAGCCATGTAGTGGTTTCTTTCAGAGTGTTTCAGTGAGGCCCAGAAAGGCATGGACCTTGGAGGATCATGGGAGGAGTCCTTGGGATCACCACTAGGAGGCATGTGGAATGTGGAGATCCTGACTACAGCCTGCTGAAGGACATCCCAGAAGGCCCTTGTTACCCTTGAGCTGGAGAGTTCTCTTGGAACCATGTCACATACATGTAGTTCAAATAAAGATATTCATTATCTCTTGTTACAAGAAACCCAAGAGCTTGGACTTCATTCAGCTCAGCTATGGGCTCAACACTGAACACACTGCCTGCTCCCCCCACCCCCCACCCCCCACCATGTGTAGGACAAACCCCTCTGACAGTCATCACACTCCTAGGTGGGTCCCCTAGACTTAGGAGCCTGGGAAGCAGATGGGCAGCTGCTTCCTGTGTGTCCTTGTCAGGGGATAGAAAGCGGCCACTGTTTCCTGAGCCACAGGGAGCCTGGCAGGCTTACCCTTGTGGGAAGGATTGGGGCCACAATAGGATGAACGGATCAGTGACATGGTCTTGAACCTTGGGAAGGTGGCTGCTGGCCTACTGAGCCCCTTTCTCTTCCTGCTCTTGGCTTCTCTGGTACCTGCTGGCAGCTCAGGGCTCCCCTCAAGAGGGTTTCAAATGAGAAAAAAAAAAAAAAGCACATTGCAGCAGATCATAAAGCAGCCAGTCATACCAAGACGCTTTCTAGTTTACAGTGAGCTCGCTGGGTAAGAGTGTCCCATCTCACCTCACCCCACCCCTGCTGTGATTCCAAAGCAGCCGTACACTGCTTTGGTACACATAGACGGTGTATGGAAAGCTGCAGTCGTTAATGTGATGAAAATAGCTGATTTACAAAACCAAACAAAAACAGAAATGATAGCCCCTGTCCGTAAGCTTCAGTCGTAATAGAGCAAAATACTGTTTCTGGCAGAGGTCACAATGGGGAAGGAAAAACACATCAAGGCTCTCAGAAGCACGTGGTGTGGGTAGGCGGGTTTTCCTGCCTGAGCTCCAGAGCGCCCCCGTGTGCCTGGCAGGACACTTGCATCTCTCGGCATCCATGCACCCCCTGTTGGTGGAGGTGACTTCCTATCTCTGCCCTTCAGAAATGGGCTTCATTTTAGATTCTCTCTTTGCTACAAGGGTGCTAGTAGTGCCCCGCAGAAACTGGCCTGTGAGAGGCGGATCAGGGGGAGAAACGGTGGCAGCACTGGCTGTGTTAGGACAAAAGGAGCTAGGACTCTGCCGTTGTGTGCACTGGCGTGGGAGCTCTAGGCTCTCTGGCCCTTGAGTTCCAGAACTTTCCCAGAAAACGCTTGTTCCTGAGTCTGTGAACACAAGCTAAGTAACATTTCAGGGCTTTGACCTGCAAAAAGCCTGGTGTGGGTCTTCTCCACTCCACGATGCGGTCAGCTGCCTTGCCCATGTCCTCTTACATGTATGTACTTACTGGTCTGTCTAGAAAACCCTGACTGGCACCAGTGAGTGCCCAACGTGTGTTTTTATTGACATCCGCTGGCAGGTGCTAGAGGCGGGGGGGGGGGCGGTGTGAGGGAGAGCAGCTGAGCCAAGGAGAAATGTAGAGGAAGGCCCCTCTGCAAACCTCAGGCCACCCACAGATGGAGCCCAGAGCACAGGACTGAAGGGGCCTAAGGTATGGCTGGCCGTCTTCTCTCTACCTTGGAACTGCACAGGAAATGAGCTGGGCAAGAGAAAGAACAAGACCCCAGAATAAAGAAAGGAAAAGACCGTGTGAGAGTGTGCCCCTTGGCCCTGGCGCTGTATGGAGGGGTGAGGGGTTAGGGGCTAGGGGTTGGGTTAGAGGGTGGGAATCAGGTAGACTGCTTTGAGCACAGCAAGTACCTGCTGCCTACCCGAATTCCATCCAGGCTGATCCAGTAGGAGGATGAAGGGAGGAGAATGAGGTCAGTCTTGTGCTGAGTTCTCATCTGTCGCTAAGAGGGGCCACTCCGGAACAAGGAGAAAGCTTGCGAGGTGGGAATGGGTGATGAGAAGAGGACACGGAGTTACCTCAGTGACACGGGCCTGGACTGGCCAGCCCTGCGGTAAGTGTCACCTCTAATATTCATAACCTGTGAAGTTTTACCTGTTTTGGCACTGGGGAAGCCAGGGCAAGTCTATGTGACTGACTTATTCACATAGGACAAGTGAGGCGCCATCTCTGAGGCCGAGCCTGTCCTGGGGAGGGCTCAGTGCAGTGCTGTGTGTGACAGGGGTTGTGGGAAGGGTGGCAGGCCTCCAGGAGAGTCCAAGCTGAGCCGTCCCTTTATAGCTCCCAAGGACTGGGGGAGAATATTATGAAAGGCTGAAGGCCTTGTGAGAAGGAAGTGGGGTTCCATGGAAGTCAGAGGTCAAGTTTGTACTTGTGCCCTAGACCCACCCCTTTGCACCCCATGACAGTCTGGAATGGGACCCTCTGCTCACTGCAATAGTGGCACCCTAGTCAGAGGTGGCATGAGGACAGCACTGTGGCCCTGTATTATTACACACCAACTGAAAGGTGGCCCTCCAGGGAGCAATGACAGGACTGCCACTCCGTGAAATTTCCACTGGAGACATTGAACCCCGACTGAATGTGTTGTCTTACATGAACAAGTAAAGGAAACAGCTCCGAAGTCCACACCAGAACCCTTGGCCATTCAGGCCAGAAGACAATAAAGGAAACATACTAAAGGAATGAAACACCCATCCAACAAAGACAACACAAGAGTCTCCCTCCCCACCTATAATCATCCCAAACCCAGAGGAGTAAGTGTCAGTATAAGAATACATTCAGTAACAGGAAGGGCAGTGTGGCACCACCAGAACCCAGTGATCCTACAACAGCAAGACCTGAACATTCCAGTGCAGCTAAGTACAAGAAAACAACCTTAAAAATAACTCTATGAAGATGATAGGGGCCTATAGAGGACATGAAAAAGTCTCTTAAAGAAATCGAGGAAACAGTGGACCAAGAAGCGAGTGAACCCAGCTGGGCACCCCTTGGTACCAGGGCAAACCCTCAGGCCCCTCTCCAATCTGCATCAGCTTCACTACCCATCCAGCAGGCGAGTTCCTACAGGTAGACTGTTCCAACACCATCCCCACTGATCAGACCCTTGTAAGCTACAAGTCCCACTTTGCCCCCTGAAGCACAGGTTGTGACTGCACAGAGCAGACCAAGAGCACAGAGCAGACCAAGAGCACAGGCCAGAAGACACCTCAGTGGCTCCCTGAGACACAGACAGCAACTGCACAGAGTAGACTAAGAGAAGCTCCCTAAGACACAGGCAAGGATTGGACCAAGAGACAAAGACACTGCCAGCACCAATTGGAGGAAGAGATGGGTAGGTGCCAATGCAAGAATTCCCTCAACAACCTAAAAAGCAACATGGTAACACCAGAACCTAGTGGTTATACAACAGGAAGGCCTGATCATCTTAACCCAGAAGAGGCAGAAGAAAAGATCTTAAATATAACTTTATGAAGTTGATAGAGACCCTTAAAGATGAAATGAAAATTCCCTTAAATAAATGGAAGAAAAGACAAACAAAAAATTGGAAGAAATCGACAATCAAACAGGTGAAGCAAACAGCTCAAACAGTTCAAGACTTGAAAACTGAAATAGAGGCAATAAAGAAAACACAAACTGAGGAAATTCTGGAAACTGAAAATCTGGGTAAATGAAGGGAACTACAGATGCAAGCATAACCAACAGAATGCAAGAGACGGAAGACAGAATCTCAGGGGCTGAAGATACTACAAAGGAGTTAGATCCATTGGTGAGAGAAAATGTTAAATCCAAAAAATTCTTAAAACATCCATGAAATCTGGAACATCATGAAAATATCAAGCCTAACAATAATAGGAATAGAAGAAGGGGAAATCCCAGCTCAAAGTCACGGAAAATATATACGACAAAATCATAGAAGAAAACTTTCCTAACCTAATGAAGGATATGTCTATGAAGGGACAAGAAGCTTACAGAAAACCAAATAAACTGGATCAAAAAAAAAGTCCCTTTGCCATATAATATAATAATCAAAATACAAAACATACAGAATAAAGAAAGAGTATTAAGAGCTGCAAAGGAAAAAAACCAAGTAACATATAAAGGTAGACTTGTCATAATTACACCCGACTTCTCAATGGAAACCCTGAAAGCCAGAATCTGGTCCTGGATAGAAGTGCTGCAGACACTAAGAGACC